CGGAAATTTTTAAGAGCTACAAGAAGCAAGCTGTAATTGGAATAGTTCCAGTCCTGTGCTTTCAGGGCAGATGGTCTTGGTCAAATTCTGAGCTTTTTCCCTATCCAGTGGAATAAACCACTTCAGCTGCATTAAACCCTTGCACGCGTTTTCAAACTGACTCGAAGGAACTTTTTCTCAAAAGCCTTTGCAATAACTAGCAACTCAGATAAACAGAGCACATCTCTCAAGTGGTAAAAGGGCCAACAGATGTTCTCTCGTGTGTATCTGTAGGATTGGCTGAGGAAATCATGTCTGAAGCATTGCTTAAGCACTGGGAGAACTTGTACCCGTGTGAGGTATCTGTCCCACTCCAGACTGCTTACTGGGAAGGAACATTGGCTGGGTTGTTTCCTGTCTACAGACTTTATCTATAGAACATAAGAACAGCTATACTGGTTTGCACCAAAGGTCCATCTAACCCTGTATTCTGACAATAACAAATGCCAGGTGCCCCAGAGAGAATGATCACAACAGGTAATCATCAAGTGATCCATCCCCTGTCAAACACTTAGCATTTAGAGTAGATATGAGCAAATTATCAAAGATCAACAACCTTGGCAAACAGGATGAGTGAAGAGGGAGATTTGAGGATATTGGACTTTTGAAAGGAGATCTATTACAAATCTGGATTATGCAGAGTATAAATACCTCTGCCAGAGAGTTCTCGGAAGAGACTGGACACAAAATTATGCAGATTTATGCTCATTGTGGACTATTATTCTAGGTATGTATAAATAATGCAACTGAAAGGCATAATGTTGCAGTGGTATTGAGAAACTGACATGCAGTTTTACTCACTTCAGTATTCCAGAATAATGTAGTGACAAAGAATGGACCACAATTCACTGCAGAATTTGTCATTCTGATTGAATTATGGTTTTGAGCCTAATCCTGGCAACCTGCATTACGTACAAGTGTCTGAAGAGCCTGAGAGCTGTTGTACAGACAATCGAGAAGATCCTGCAGCAAGACAATCCATTCTTTTCTTTTGTAAGTTACAGAACAACACCAATAACAGCTACTGGATATAGTCCTGCACAAGTCCCGTTGAGAAGAGAACTCAAAACTACTTTTCCAAGTTTGGAAAAGAATCTATCTCCATATGAGCCAGACATGAAGCGAGTACCCAAATTGTATAAAAGGCTAAAGAGCTTATAAACCCTTTTATGATAATCACCAAGTGCCAGAGCTGAGTTACATCTGTGTCCGATTGAATGGAGAAAAGGGATGGATGTCTCCAGTTATCATGAAGAAAAGGAGTTCATTGCCCAAATCATATGTGATTGAGACTAATAGTGGGGAGTTCACTAAAACCTCTGATGTACACAATGTGTTCCTCAGAAAGAACAAGCAACAGAACTAACTGGACAGATGGCAGCTGCCTGAATGAGAAGATTCAAAGGTTCCCAACTGGCCACCGCCAGTCATTAATTTGCAAGTAATGCACCAGATGACAAAGTTATTTATGTGTTCAGGTTATATAATCATTAAACTAGTACAATTTAGAGACATTTAAAAGACTAATATGCACAAAAATTAAAAGACTGAAAATGTAAATATTGTAAATGGTTGAAATGTAGAATGTCTCTTAAAGAAGATGTAATAGAATGCTAAACAGTATTGTACTGTTCATTCACTGGGTCTCACTGCATGTAAAATACCTTATTTAAATTAATCTCAGTCACATCCCATAGAATATTAAAGGATCTTAGCAAGCTCGGTGACCAGGCCATATCTGGTACAGGAGCATAGGTGAAATGGGAAGGGAGATTCTCATGCTTGAAATGAGAAGGACATTTCTGCAGAAAGTTGATTTTTTTTTTATTAAAAAATAGTGTTCCTTTGAAGCTGTCCCAAGGGTTTGCAACATATGAATAACTCTAGGTGATGCTGAATTACTGGACAGAGGCAAGTGAAATTGCCTAATAAATTTATCAGATAGCGCTGCACTTTGCCCCCTGGCTGTTACCTCTACGTATGTGGATGCAGGTGTCACCGCGTAGGAGGGGATAGCTAAGTAATGAATTCTGCAATACACCTTTGGCCAGGAGTGCTAAAAGAACTGCTATAGCAGGGATGATGAAACCCTATAATAAAACTGTAAAAAATGGAAGTCACGCAATCAGCTGCTATTACCACAAGCCAGGGGATACTGTCCTTACTCTCAGCATCCTACTTCTAGCACCCCTGCTTTTGACTATCTAGTCCAGGGCTACTCAACACGTGGTCTGTGGGCCACATGTAGCCCGCGGGGCGGTTTAGATTTATTCAGGGCTTAACATGCAGCCCACAGGTGGGATCCTTTGAACATGGCCTCCACTGGGAACATGCTCCACAATGGCAAGCCATCTCCCAGGTGGGGTGAGCATTGAAAGATGTAAGTGGACAGGCTGGCTGGAACAGACCGGTACAGAGTGTTGGCATTTCTAGCTCCCAGGGAGGAGTTGTGGGGAGCACTGGGGCATTTGTATTCATTCCTGTCAGTATGAGAGAAACTATTTGTGTATATATTTGCATGTATATGCAACCATACTTAAGTTGCGGCCCTCCGCATGTGCTGTCAGTATCATTGTAGCCCCTGGGCTTCCAAAGTTGAGTAGCCCTGATCTAGTCAGGCATTCCAGCCCCCTGGAGCAGCTTTAAATTACTTTGATCTTTTCCTGCCCCAATTTTTCCACATCCCAAATACAGCATTGCTCTCCCGAAATACCACTGCCCCAGGGTAAACAAAAGCCATACTTGGACCAGTGGCATATTTAAGGTCCAAAGCCATGTGTGGAAACCTGCTTATTTCTAGACAAAGTCTGAGGTCAAATTTGCATTGTTTGCCTAAAAATGAATGTTTTCTACTTGATAGCTGAAGGAACATTGCAAATGTGCATCTCTTCAAGGGAGGCCATTCCCCATGCAACATACCCTGGCACAGCTTCCCCTCGCTTCTTCCATTGGGGGACAAAGACCTTTTTTGCTTCTAAAGTTCCTCTTCTGTTTTCCCTTTCCAACAGCCTCGGAATCCTTTCCATCTTTCCTTTCTGCTTCAGTGTTCCCTCTACTACTGCTCTTCTATACCAGCTCCCTCAGCTTCCAGCTGGAGGTCTATACCTTCAGTTTCTACTCCTCACAAAACAGAGAGAGACAGACTTTAAAGCAGAGGTACTGGATCTGGGGGTGGAGGCAGGAAAACATGGTCCTCCCAGTTCTTACCAGTCATAAGGACACAGAATGGGAGGGAAGGGCAGAGAGGAGTAAAGGAGAGGTGGGTTTTTGGGGGGCAGAGGCAGCATGGGAACAGGCCTCAGAGGAAGAGGTGGTGCAGGGGTTGTTACCCTCACAAATTTCTCTATCCCTTCCACACTTTAGGGGGACACACCTTTACCCAGTTCCTAGGGCTCAAGGTGCAACCCTGTTAATTTACACAGCCACCCTTACCCAATTCCTAGGGCTCAGGGTGGAACTTCCTGCGGGTTTGCAGGATCTTTTGCCATGGAAAGAGCCTCACACAGTAATATTCTCATTCTCTATTTATTGACTATTCCCAAGCAAGCAGAATACACATTCTAAGCACACAGTGTCATGCTCACCAATCCTGATACAGGCAAGCAGACTTCCCCTGTTGGCCAGGCAAGATCAGTCTCTCTGGATCTTAGTTGCTGCACGTCACGGTCATGCAGAAATATCCTGGCAGCTCTGGTCTAAGGCTGGATCTTGGAGGTAAGTTCTTCCAGATCTTCCCTCTTCTTCTTGGTCTTCCTTCCCGTTCTTGTTTCCCTGTTGCTCTTATAGCTGGTCTCCTTCTTGGACCCCAGTTTATAGTGAAACTTGAGTCCTGCTTAGCTATACCTTAACCAATTATTTTAGTATAATTTTACTAACCTATCATAACATACTGTAACAGAAATACCTACCCAATCATACCCCACCGCCTTGGTTGATTTACACCTAGCAAAATTAATTATATAGAAGACAGAAACAGTTACAAACCAGACCGAGATCACGCAGACAAATAATAGGAAAGTGTGAGGACAATAATCATAGAATGAGGATTCCACAACCTCAACTATTGATAAGCAATTTTTTCCAGACAAAATGCTGTTAAGTTTTCTTTACCCATCTTGAGATTGGTTTCTTTATCTGATGATAGTGGGGGCCATTAGGACAAGGTCACCTTCTCACAGCTTAGTTTGACACTATTTTAATGCAATTTACTGTAGATGGAATGTGAGTATGTGACTCCAGGCTTTACAGCTAATGGCTGCCCTCTTCAGTCTGACTGCAGAAGAAGGCTTTAGTTCAGGCCTACCAATATGGCTACAGGCCTTCCAACATGGTTACAGAAAAACCATATTGTTACAGGGTGGGATCTTAAAGGAAGGGGTGGGTGAGGACTTGGGGCAGGATAGATATAGGGCCACATTTCAAGTACCTATAGTGCTCTCCCACATCCACTGTTAGGGTGCTTCTGCTGCTTTAAGGCTAGAAAGGACCATCATGATCACCTAGTCTGGCTTCCTGCATAGTTACAGGCCCCAGAACTTCACCCACCCACTCCTGACCTCTGGCAGAGGTACTAAAGCCCTCAAATTTTAATTTAAAGACTTAAAGTTACGGAGAATCTTAGATTTCCTTCTATATCTTCTCTATTCCTCCCCTCCCTGTTTTTGTCTTCAGAGATTTAGTTCCATAAGGGGATGGAGGGAACAGAAGACATTAAGAGCTGACTTCCCCACTTCTCTAGGCTCCTCTCCTGCCCAGCTCATTCTGTGTATTTCATTGCAGAATGGAATGGTGTGTGCGCTGAGTAACTGGCAGGGGAAGGGAAAGAAGGATCAGCATCATCCATACCCTCTTGGCCCTGGTCTACATTAGGGCATTATTTTGAACTAACCCCTCTTAGGTCGAATTTATAAGTGGGGCATCCACATTACCAAGCCTGTTATTTCGAAATAATGGGCTGCTTATTTCAAAACCTGTACTCCTGCTTTTCTTGGTGAATAACACTCATAATAATTATTATTTTGAAATTATTTTGAATAGCTCCGGTGCTGCTAACTGAAATAATTACTCACCAGAGTAATTTGAACTAATTACTCCCCAGTGCTTCTTGGGGCTCTACATTAAGGTAGCGCATTCTCATTAAGGGAGCCTGCCTCAGACTAGTTCCCTGAAATGAGGACATGCTATTTTGATTTTGTAAGATCAGGAGTTAAGTCGAATGTATTTATTTCAAAATAGTATCCTAGTGTAGACATGCCCCTGGACAGTTAGAAAGGATGGAGACATCTTGTGGGAGGATGGGGAGCTGCCTGCACCAATGAGGAGTTGTAGGGTAGGCAGGTCTGCCTGAGGGTTTCAGTCATTAACAGAATTGGGAGAATGATCAGCACCAGGAAGGGCCAAAGCATCCAACTTTAACATAATGACACTTACACACAGAAAAAGCTTTTTTGGGTCCTTTTCAGAGGTTTTAAAGATTCTTTCTGAACTTTATCCTTACATTTTAAGTTCCTGGGATAGGGACTGTTTTTTTGTTCTGTGTTTATACAGTGCCTCACAGCACAGATTAAGTGATTAAAAATGGTTACAAATACATTTTTAAGTCTAGCTTGCATAGAACACAGGGCAAGATGGAACAAAGTTCTTACAGACCCTGGCGTGAGTTGAAGAAGGTGAGTCACTTGTGTACCTCCTACTTTTCACTTGTCACCAGGAATGGAGTGCTTACTTGAAGCCCATTCTCTTCCACACAACCTACAAGACAGTGAAACTTTGGCTGAAAGATCATCTCTGTAAGAGGGAGATTCTGCAGGAAATCACATTATCAGTCTGGACCAAACTCATGTCCTCTCAAATAAACTAGAGAAACAGCTTGCTACTTGTTCAGAAGTTAAAATAGACACTTGCATGCTCAGCAAATGACCAGTGTAGCCAGGATAAGTTATATGAACTAGAATTTTAAACCACATAAGATGGGTTTGCGAACACATTTTCGGAAAACATCTATGAACTTATTCTGGACATATTCCTAGTGGAGACCAGTGAGTGTACTTAAAGAGAGCCAATACTAGGAGACCTGCTGGTTCTCTCCAGCAGTCACAGGGCTGGAGCTGCTAGGGTACAGAGCCTGTGGTAGATCTAATTAGACAATTGCTAAGGGCCCTGAGCACCTCCAGGGGCCCCCTATTTCCTTTTTATTATAAGAAACTGCCTGTTTTAGTGTGGGGCAGTACTATCCCTGTGTGGAACCCCCAGTGGGCTGGCACTGGTGGAATATATAATCATGAGCTGTATGTGTATATGTCTGTTTCTCCCGCTGAGGCAGCTCTCTGTCTTGGAGGTGTGTAGGTTCCAATGTGTAGCTGCTTGATGACTAGAACAACAGAGCTAACTTCTCAGCCCTCAACAGTGCTATTATAACTTTCTCAAGTAGCAAGTTACTCTCAATATCTATAAGTAAGACACAGTCACTTTAATCACATGAATCTTCTGGTTAACAGGATAACCTGCTATGCCTTTGGAGAGAAACCTGATTTCCCCTTCAAGAACAGTAAGTTCAGCCCTTGCTGTGAAGAATCCAGGCCACATGCTAGGGCAGTGATTCTCAGACCTCAGTGGTTCAGGAGCCAAATTAGTGACCAACATTACCCAAAAGATCCTCAGTAGCGTGAATTCTTTGTTTCATTTACTATCATGTGTATGTATAATTCTCACAACAAATGTTAATAGCATAGTGAAAGTTGATAATTTAATATCATAGTAAAAGTATGGTTGTTAACAAATTAGATTAGTTAATAATGAAATCACATAGTGTTTTAATATCACATGCTGTGAGCAGGGCCGGACAGAGGCATGGGCGAGCTGGGCAGCTGCCCAGGGCACCAACCGATGGGGGGCACCTGATAGGATATGTTGACAAAACTTCTGTCGACAAAAGCCTGTAGTGACCGCCTGGGGCAGGGGCCGCGTTAACCCCTGCAGTGGCCTTCCCCCCCATGGCCGTGGGGCCCTGCACGGCCAGGTGCGGCCCAGGCCGCGTGCCAGCAGCGGTGACCGGGCCGGGCAGTGCATGCGCCGTGCGCCCCGGGGGCGGGCCTGCACATGCGCCCTGTGCCTGGGGGCAGCGCCGCACGCCCGGGCCCAGGGCACCAAAAGGGCTTGGGCCAGCCCTGTCTGTGAGTAACCAGGACACCCATTACAGGGTGTGGCTACACTACACCCGTAGCTTGAAATAAGCTACACAATTTGAGCTACACAAATCACATAGCTTATTTTGAGTGTATTTTGAAATAAACTACTATTCTGAAATGTCCCTTACTCCTCATGGAACGAGGTTTACAGGGACATCAGACTACCAAGCCTGTTATTTCGAAAGCTATTTTGAAATAATGAGCTTATTTAAAAGACAAGAAATAGCTATTTTGGGATGCTGGAGGTACCCTGAAATAGTGCTGGAGTGTAGATGTACCCACAGCCCCACTTTTGATTCATAAAACTTAGAGTATCACTGGCCTAGAAGTCATTTCCCCCATCTCCCACTTTCTAGTCTCCTGCTTTTCACTTGTGCCTTCTTCAGTGCTGCCCTGTGAACTCGAAAAAGACCCTCTTCGACAGCAGCTAACAGCCCCTTCTCTTCTTCACATTCTTAAAATAGGTTGATTGCATGAATGGCAACAGATGTACACTTCATAATTTCCTCTCTGCCACAAACCTGGGTCCTCACATAATTTTGTCTGTCTCAGCAAAATCACAGCCCCTCAAGCACAGACCCTATCATCTTAGCTTTGTACAATGCCACCTGCTCACCGAAGATGCTCCATAAATAGGGAGGGCCCTATCAAATTCACAGCTCTGAAAAATGCATCATGGGCCACTAAATCTGGCCTCCATTGGGAAATTTGCTTGGGAGGGGCAAGTATAGGAGGCGGGTATAAGAGGTCAGGGTAGCTAAGAGTCCCCAAACAAGATGAAGTGTACCTCCCTCTGAAGGCACACCTGCCCACCATCTCTGTGGTGCAGCCATTGCTGAAAGGGTGCTTGGGCAATACTCTTCCCAAGCTCCTCCCCCCACACTTATCTTCTTCCACCATGGTCTCACCCATGTTGCTTCTTTTCCTGACACCCGCTGCATCTTTCCCAGAGGCCTGCTCTTGCTCTGCTTCTTCCCCCAAGCCTTCCCCTCTTCCCCACAGCATTCCTTGGCATCCTGGGAAGGAGCTTGGAGGGGTCTGAGTGGCAGGCAGTGGGGGGAGGGGAAGTTCCGTGTGGGGAAGGAGCAAAAAGGCACAAGCAGCAGCGGTCATTTGGGGAGGGGGTGAAGAGACGTGAGTAGTGGGTGGGAGTATTGGGAAAGGGGACAAATGTGGCATGGGCAGCCAGCAGGAGGGGCGAAGAGGCATGAGTGGCAGGGGCCTTGTGGGCTGAGCAGGATAAGGGGGACACAATCCAGGTGCTGGCAGCCCCTCCCATTTCTAGGGAGCTTCCTGTGCTCATGTCCAGCTTCCCCAAATATGGAAGTCATGTGTCACCCCTGGGGGAAGAGCTGGGGCACCCCAACCAGGGCTCCTACCATGTATCAGGCTCTAGCTGCTAGTGCTGGCAGGGGGTGGGGAGGGCTAGGACTTTCTCCTCTGCACAGGTTGCTCCCTGGGTTGGGACAGATCCACCTTTGGGAACCTCCCCCATCTTCAAGAAGGTCTGCACTCCCACCCTGCTTGCTGCTCCTATTGCTTCCCACTCACAGAGAGAGGGGGGTTACTGCACAAGTAAGAGCCACAGAACTTCTAACAGATGGGGGCAGCACCTGGAGGTGGGTGACTAGGCTCACAAGTGGTCCATACATGGGAAAAGGAAGTCCCATTTCTCCTCATCCCTGCTGGGACTAGCCGCTGCAGCTTTCCACATGGTAGGAGCCCCCAGCTGGGTTGGCCCAAGCCAATGGTGTTGTAGCTGGGAGGGCTCTGGCTGGCAGCCATGCTCCCCACTTTTTAATGTGACATAGTTTGGGGTGGCAGGCAGGGCCAGTAGCAGCCATGCTTCATGGCAGGGGAGCACTGCAAAGCACAGCCCCTGCAGTTTGGGGGTGGAGCAACACCTCCGTGAAATGCAGCCTGTTGGCATTGCTCTGCACTTGCCCAAGTTTTGCTGTTTGGGGAGTACTGCTGCACCTACCCCCAAACTGCACCCATGTTAGGAAGTGGGGAGGCCTGGCCCCAAGCCTAATTTCTGACACCAGTGGCACCCCCGCTTCTACAAATGGTCAGGTGTCCTTGCCCTCAGCCCTGGCTCTAGGCCCATTGCATGGGGGGGCTAAAGGGACCTTGGGTGGGTGGGGCCCAGGGGCAGTTGCTCACCCATAAGGCTGGTCTTGCCTTCCCCAAAATGATGTGTTCACCATACCTTGTGACCCATTTGTCTGTCCTGCCTGCTCAGCTCTGAACCAGCGCCTGTCAGTAGCAGCACAAACCCCTCCCCCAACCCTCTTTGGGGTTACAATCCCCCTGGTTATCAACACATGAAATTTCAGATGTAAATATTTGAAACAGTGAAACTGAGGATTTGAAAAAGCTTATGACCTTTAAATTCATCAAAGTGGACCATGAATTTGGTAGGGCCCTATCCATAATAGCTGGATCGCCTTGCCCTCACGCCACACTCTCTCCCACTGTAGGGTAGCATATGCTCTTCCAGAGATGTTGGGAATATCAAGTCATGCTAACTGGGGGCAGGCTATGTCTGGCATCCATTACACACAACCCATGTGCTTCCTGCTGTTTCAAGGGGCAGGAGGAATCAGAAAATGCTACTCTCACACACCTACCTGCCTCATTGCTATTTGATGGAGGATTTTTCTGTTAGCTATCTGAGGCCAAGATTAGGGTACCCCTGCAGAGCAAGGAAACTGGGCACAAATACTACTCACCCTGCTTCTCTCTCCCAACCAACAAAAGCAGCAATGCAATATCATTGTGCCAAAGATATTTTATTGAAAAGGGACAAGTCAAATTTTGTTCTTCCATGAATTAAAACGGAAATGATTCATATTAGAAAAGAATAACACATAGAAGTACCATAGGCAAATATATGTGTGTGTCCAAAGCTAACAGGGAGAGAGACTGCTGGGTTGTAAAATACCAGAGAGTATGCAGCGCTGTCTAGATAAGCTAAAAGCTTTCCAAACTGCTGTGTTTGGCAGGCAGAGGGGAAGTTGCCGGGAAGGAAATGCTACTCCTCTTGAAATGCCTCCTGCCGAGAGTGTAAGTCAGCGGGACTAGCTAGACACACACTTGTTCCCCGCTCAGTGACTCAGCGGAAGGCTAAAGCACCTGGCAGCCCGCTGGCGTTCGGCAAGGATGACTTTCACCTCTTTGTATCCGAGCCCTGCAGGAGGGCGGGGGGCAGCCGGAGCTGGCCGCGGGCCACGCTGCTTAGGGGCATGGGGCTCCTACCGTGTCCGAACACGACTTCGGGCGAGGCTCCCGGCAAATGGTCCCAACCATTTCATACCCGGCCGAATTCCACTGTAGACTGCAGGGCCGGGGGAACGAGCTCGCTGCCCCAATGGGAATGCGAGTGAGCGCCCGACTGCCCGCTGGTAGGTTTGCGGAGGCAGCTCTAGCCGGGTGCTTGACACTCCCACGGGCACCGTACAGGGGACAGTGCGAGCGCGCAGCCCCGTCTGTGTCAGTAACGCGGGCGGTTCGCAGAGACAGCGCTTCTTTTCAGCCACTCCGTCCGTCTTGCCTCAGACCCCGGCCACACACACGCCGGGTCAGCTTTCCCCTTGCCCCTTGCGGGATAGCGGATGCGTCCGATCTCTAGAGGGCGAGAATCGCTGCGCCTCGCGACCCGCCAAAAGGAAGGCAGGAGCGTGACTACCGCGCCCCTGGCTCCACCAATCCCAAACGGACTGAAGCTGCTTGGGAGTCGGGGCTGAACTCCCGGCGCAAGCAGGCAAGTGGGGAGCAGTGGGCAGAAAGGATCGCTGTCCAGGAGCTCGGAGCCGGAGTCTCTGTTCCCTCCTCCTGGCTGGAGTGGACAGAAATTCACCCCAAGGGGCTTCCGACTTTCCCGGGAAGGGGAGTAACTGCCCTGCGCGGGGGAGAAAACGCCTCGAGCAAGCGCCGAGCCTACCTAAAGCTATGCGGAGCGCGCTCCCGCTGGCACTGGCTATAGGCGCAGCGAGGGGGGCGCCGCTGGCGAGCCCCGCGCAGCACCCCGAGGGCTGGGGAGGAGGGTGGTTCTTCACAGGGCATCGGCGGGCAGGCAGCCCTGGGGGGCGTCTCTTCTTTTCACAGAGACGGTGAAGGGCAGGGGCTTGAGCGCCAGCCCGTGCACGCAGTCCATGGAGAGCCGCTCGGCCGGGTTGGACTCGAAGATGCACTGGTGCAGGAGGATGGCGGTGAAGAGGAAGATCTGGAGCTTGGAAAGCTGGTCGCCGATGCACCGCCTCTGGCCGATGGAGAAGATCATGACGCCGCACGTCAGGTCCCGGTCCAGCTTCTGCTCCTGGTCCAGGAAGCGGGCCGGGTCGAAGACATGCGGGTCCTTCCACTTGTGCCGGTCGTGGTTGACCGACCACTGGTTGACGAAGACCACCGTGTCCTTGGGGATGCGGAAGCCCTGCAGCTCCACGTGG